ATCTTTTCCCCGTAGCACATAGTGAGTCTCTTCAGCAGTGCCTGTGGTTTGAGGGATGTGGCTCTGTAGGGCAGCTGATTTGGGCATGATCCCCTGGCCACCCGCGAGCATGTCCCTGGAGATCAAACAAAGCATGTGTGAGCACCCTGCACCTATCATGTCCTTGGCAAGCCATGGGAGAGGAAAAATCACTGTATAGCTGTGCAGGAAGCGCAGCAGCTGATCGTGAGCTGAGGTGACTTTAAGGCTCAGCAGCAGGACAGCTGAAATGAATAATGGCAGCATCACCTTACCATTTCAGTGGAGACAAGGAGATTAGCAATCAGATCATGATTTAGTTAGCCTCAGCTGTGTCAAAGGGCTCGGAAAGTTAAAGGCAGGGCAGGCAGAGCTAGTGAGTTTGGCCTGTGGAAAGTGGAGCAAGCAGGACGTCTTTCAGGGGATGTGTAGTGGGCTGAATGACTGCTCTAAGGAGGGTTATTGGCTGAGGACCATGTCTTCACCCTAGGGGAAAACCCCCAGCCTGCCAGATGGTGCAGAGCTATGGCTTGGCTCTTGGTGCCTCTTACTCTTATTAGTCTGTTCTGCACTGTGACTATGCTCCTTGGGGATGCTTCCTGGGGGTGATCTTCTCCTGTGTCTTCTGAGAGCATCACATTTGAAGGATTGGAGCTCAGGGCATCAACATAAGAAGAGGTTCTGCTGAGCTTTCTCTAGCACTCCCCAGCCCTGAACAGCTGTGCACGAGCAACCAGAACAGGATATTTAAAGTAAGCATCCTAAAGTATAATAGTATTTCTTATAAAGTAGGGGTAAAAATATCCCTTTGCAAATTGCATGGGAATCCTAATACTGTAGGATCTGCCCTGGGAATGCACTCTGTGTGGAAATCTCTTGTGTTTAGTTGGTGCTTTGGGATCAAGGCAATCATAACTTCTTTCTTAAATCTGTTCCGAAGTACTTGACTTTGTATTTAGGGAGTCCCTAAGTTGGTGTTGAAGTCTTGTCTGCGTTAGTTCAGTTTCATATCTGCAGGGAAAGATGCTCCTACGGCAAAATAGAAGAGTGTACAGAGGAGCCTGTGTGGGAGAAATAGGTTTACCCCAAGTGTGTTATGCAGTATTGCTCCTTTAAAAGCAAGAGGATGTGAGTCCCCCTTGCTGTACAAGAATGAGGTTAGAGAATAGGTTTGAGTTTGATTCCTGGAAAATTCTGTGAATTATAGAAAGAAAACACTCGTGGCAGGGCTTGTGCTTATCTGTGATGCGTGGTTTTTTTTTTTCTTTTTCTGTGGTTTGCTTCCTCCTCTTACTGATTATATCCTGGAACAGTATCATTGAGAGAACTTTAGACAGATAAAAGTATCAAGGTTGTGGGGTTTTATTTTATTTTTTGTTCCCCCTCAGTGCTCCAATAAGCACCGGGAATATTGCCTGCTGGGAAGAGTTGTTCTCTTCCTTTTTTTTTAAATTTCAAAATGGTTAAAAGTTCTCAGTCTAGTTCATTGTCTTTCTGCCTTCTATTCTGGATTATCAGGGTGTCCCACCATCCTTAATTGACAAGGAGACCTGCTGACTTTGAGTTTTTTCTACAAACTGAGGTTTTCAGCATGATTACTGCAGCATAAGGGATAGCAGTGCTGGAAGACTGTGGTAAAATTGCTCCGTAGATGGAAAGAAGTGATGTTAAAAGATATGATGTGACAAAAGTAGGGAGTCTCTTAAAAGTCACGTGCAGAGTTTTGCCTCTGGGCTAGCAGGTAAAGTCCTGTCCTATGATTATACAATTCCCTCTTCAGGTAGTAACTGTAGTGAGCTTTGGGGAGAAAGATGGGTAAATCCTTATTAAAAGCTGCCTTCACCTAAAACTTTGTCTGTAGGCTTCCCAGTTGCGTTGTTTGCTGTATGAATGACGAATTCCAATATCCCACTTTATTCCCAGACATGAGAGGAAGTTCCCTGGTAGAAAGCAGCTCTTCTGCTGGCTGTTGTCACCAGTGTTGCTGTTTGTGTTTGAGCTAGTCCCTCTGCAATCAATGGGAAGATATGAGTGGCTTCAGGACCCCATGGACCTATGGATTTTTGGGATGCAAAGGGAGCCTGGTTCAGGTGTAGGCACGGCTGTACTTGGTGATATAAATCACCCATTGCCCAATCAACTCCTTAACCTTCCTGTGCTCTGTGTTAGAGGAGAGAACTCAATGCTGGCTGTGCGCATCTCTACACTACTGTTGTATTTAGTCCAGGTAGGCACCCAAAAGTGCAGCTGCTCTTCAGCGCTTCTCTCCTGTAGAAAGAGACCCAAGGAAATGCAGAAACCAGGGGAGGAAAGATCTATATGTCTCCAAAGTGCTTCTGACCCTTTGGTGTCTGGAGAAGGCATTCGTTCGCTGGTGCTGCTGCCTAAAGAAGCGTAGGGAGCTGGGATGCTCCTGCAGAAGAGGATCTGTGCAGTATGGAGAGACAGGAACGCTGCTGCTGTCAGACTGCGTTAGGGCTGGGAGGAATGTGGTGGGTTTGTGTATGGCTTAGAGTGCTCTGCCCCACTTCCCTTGAATTTTACTTTGAGTTTGGGCATGAGCCTCAAACTTCAGCAAAACCAGGTCAGATCAGAAAAAAAAAGCATGTGTAAGACAAGATTTCTCCTCCAATCTGTCCCTAGGCAGGCATTGACTCCGAAAAGCCTGGAATTATGAAAAGGGCAGTTGTTAAAGCTTGAATCAGTCCTGACTGTGTGTGTATGTCAGATCAGTAACAAAAGAGGGATGCTGGGGCTGTACCCTGTGTCTGACTGTCATGACAGCTTCTGGTGGTGCAGCATTTGCATTTATAACATGGATGCAGGGGAACTCCAGGGGATCTTAGGTTCTGTGTGGCTAAAATCTAAAAATTACATGAAGCTACTAATGATGAGCAGATTTGCTCTATATTTCCCTCAATAGGCTATTTAGTAAAATTGGGAGAGGTTTTTATGTCCTTCCAAAGTCATTTGCATGATCGAAGCATATTTTGCACCCTGAAGAAGGAAAGGGCCATCTATCCTGGAGCCAAATCATCTTCCCAAGAAAGGGGAAAAGGTCAGAGTTGGTTTTTATCTCCACTCCTCTGATCCTTGAGGAGTTTTAAGACAAGATCTCCCCCTCTTCCCCACCACACAGAAAGCCTCAGGCTGCAGGAGCATCTTCTAAATGTTTCCTGCTGGGAGCTCTTCCATTTTGTGCAAAGTACTTAAACATTAAAATTTAACCAGGGTGTAAAAATGAGGCTAAGACGCATTCAGGGATTCAAACATAGGTCTCGCATCATATCAGAGAGCGCCCGTTAGTGCCTTTACTATTGTGGTATTAGATAAAAAGGAGGAAGGGGACAAGCTTGAGGAGGGTGGTGCAGTCATCTATGCCTGAGAATACAGCTTTTCATTTCCTCTAGCTTTGATGTGCTTGTTAGAAAAGCGAGTTAAATCGAGCTTCTGCGTTCAGCAAAATAGACACTTCATTTTGGTAAGAAGAAAGCAAAACATTTTGCTCAATCTAAATCTCAATTTGACATATTGGCTTGACTGACGTTAGCTCTTAGTAGATGGCCAGTACAATTGTACTTATTTACTGCTCAGAGTTGTCTTGCTGGGAGAAAGCCTGCCTGCAGCCTACAACACTTTGGTTGCTATGAAATCACTTTTTTTAAGGCAGCATAGAAACCAGCTGATACTGATTTATTCAGTGGTTTTTGTAGCTACGAAATAGGACCTGACTCTCCCCAGGCTGATGGAGGGGTTGCCGAAGCTGAAATCCTTTGCACCTGCAGCCTATCTGCATCCAAGGTCCCTGCTGGCTGGTTTTTTTTGGGGGTTGCCTGTGCAGAAGCTCAGGCTGCTGGTGCCATCCTCAGATGGAAGTTGTACATCATGGTGCAAAAATCGTTAGAGATGGGGGCTCCCAATGGAAACACTTAACACACAACATGACTGGAGTTATATAATGACTGTGGCTTATTAAGCAGCCTCACTAGAGGCATGAAAGGCAGGAGGCTGATGAGGCTTTGGTATGCTACACTGGAGTTTTTCCTGTCTATTGAGCCAGCAATAACTACGTCTTATTTATTTACTTTTGGTGGGTGATCACATAAAACTACAAACTCCTGTCCCACCAGGAAGTTCTCTGCCATCCAGCCAGTGTTTGCGTCTGTCCACGTGTAGCCAGCTGGCTTGCTTGCCAGAACTGATGCCTGTGACAAGCTTTAAGACTTTCATGATTAAAATTGAATTTGTTTTTGACCACTTAATTTGTGTTTGATCAGTTGGGTGGCAGGTAGACAGGCAGTAATGCTGCGAGACCTCTGTCATGTGAGTTCAAATTGTTTCTCCTTTTCAAGTATTTTCCTTTTCCTCTTCAGCACAGGTATAAAATGTTGCAGAGGCAATGGGGAAGCCCCTAGCCAGTCCATGGCTGACTTATGATGTACAGGGACTGGAAAGGACCTTGCTAGAGGCAAAGAGTGGTTCTCATCTACAAGAGTATGTGGCATGTGTTTTGGGAGGCAGGAACATGCAAGACTTTAAAATAGAGGCGTTTTAAGGTGCCCATAAATGCTTCAGAGGTCATTTTTGGAGGTGTCTTGCATCTGTTCCTTTCAGGATTTTGCTCGCCGAGTCCCACACAGTTGGACTGACACAGCCTGATTCAGCCCTCGGTTACTTTGGTTTTACACCATGATAAATACCATAGATTTTCACTGGCGTACAACTGGAACTGCGTGATAGTGAATCAACCATACAGAAAGTGAGGTCCTTGGCTTCACAGGCAGAATAAGAAACAATAAGCAAATTCTTTGCAACACTGCTAGCAAATATTCTTCTGAACGAGTGGCATATTTAGAATACATAAGCTGTCTAAAAACTTTCATTTGGTAGGTAACTTTCGGCGAAGTGATGTTCCATAAATCTGTTACTTTCTGCTGTACCAACTATGCATTGTGTTTTACCTGCTCATCTGATCTCCATTTTATTTGCCTGTACATCTCTCTTTCTATATATATGAACGTTTTACAGCCACGCTTGGAAGGAGTCAGAAAGCTGTCTCATTTGCCAAGCACTTCTACATTTACTCAGGACTTAATGGGGGCCAAGCAAATTGGGTCTCTAGCTACTTGCTGCATATTTGGTATATCTAATAATTATTTTTTTTTTCAGAACCCCAGCTGAAAGGAATTGTGACAAGGTTATTCAGCCAGCAGGAATACTTCCTGCAGATGCACCCAGATGGTACAATTGATGGGACCAAGGACGAAAACAGTGACTACAGTAAGAAAAATTAGCCTGTTTTGCAACCCAATTACAATCAAATACATCACCTAGTGGGTCTCACTTGTTCAGCTTTATTTTTGAAAAGATGAAATTAGGAAGAAGACAGCTGTTTTCTGCGCATTTTTTCCATCTATCCTTCCCCTTTAAATCTTTCCTGTATAATTTCATATGTTTCCTCTCTGATCTTCTTCTCTCCCACCCCGATTCTGTAACTGCCATCTGGGAGGGGTAGAGAATAAAACCCATGATTTGAATTGCTGCCAGAAGAGAAGAGAGATTATATTTATACACAGGCCACGTGGGTAAAGGATATGGGGAATTCTCCAAGAAGAAGAGGAGAGAATTGTTTTCACTATTTTATCCTGAAAAATCCAGCAAGAATCAGGAATTTCCAGACTGGAGAAAACCAACTGTTCACTAAAGTCTAGTGCTTTGAGGCTAGTGTCAAGGCCGAGGGTATCAAATGACCTTTCTGAAGGGAGCTGATCTTCCAAAACCCTCTTCAAAGGGGTTGAGTTCATACAGTCCAAAGGACAGCAAAGTGCTGCAGAGCCACGTAGGTTTAAAGGTGATGCTTGTGTGCAGTAGCCGTATTGGTTTAAACAAATGCAAAGCAGTAGCCAATATTTCTTTTGCAAAAGAAGTAGTTTTGTCAATACCAAAGCTCCTTGTAACTTGAAAAAAGGTGCAGGATATCTTCTACAGCATCTCTCCATTTCATAGGCCTCAGATTGATGCTTCTGAAAGGGCAGTGATAAGCTCAGATCCTTGGTGCCACAAACTGCATTAACAAAGTAGGACTCAAGTCTTGATTTGGGTCATTCTATGTTGGTTTGAAGCTCCCTGTGCCACTGTTGAAGGAACATTGTATCTAGCCTGTCCAGCATGATAGGTGTCTTCCCAGTCATTACTAGAGTGATCTGTGTGGTAGGATTGATGGAAGCAAACTTCCTGTACTTTGTGAAAGGTGTAACCTACTTAATTTGGGGACAAACCTTGTTCTAACTGAAAGAAGCTCCTAGCTGGATTGAAGGCATTGTTCTTTCAGGAAGGCAGAGCCCAGGCTGCAGGTGAGATGGGTCTGTAGTGGACATGGACATTGTCCTCTGAAGATCTGCTTGGACAAGTGTGCAGGTGGCTGCAGCCTCATGTCTGTGGTGCTTGCCCCATCCCCAGGAAGCTGGCAGGGTGCTGTGGTGGGAATGCTGTGTGCGATGGGGCTGCTCCGCTGCAGCCAGCTCAGGGCTGGGGTCTGTGTGCGGAGCAGTGCGTGAGAGAGGAGCTTTGAGAAGATGGCAGCTAAAATTGCAGGAGGCTGGCAAAGCCCATGTGAAATGACCCAAGGGGCTGCATTCACCATAAACTTGGCCTGTAGCAGATGCACGTACCAGGTTTTAGTCCCCTTTCTATATGCTGTTGCTGAACAAATGAAATACCACAAATTGCAATGACACAACTTCTAATTTGCATTGGAGCAGGAGAACCTGTGGCCCTTCCTCCACACACTTTTACTCCATGAGAGACCAAGCAGGTCTCTTCCTACAAGAAGAGTCTGGCCTTGTGATTGTCTCAGGCAGACACCAACACATGTGATGAGTTCTGTGGGCTTTAGTAGGTGAGTAATGACCCAGTGTTGGGTTGTATTAGCTGCTTTTTCTTGAAGAAAGAAGACATAGGGTGTTCTCAATCTGCAGAAAATCCTATTGGAGGCCTATTTGTCAACGACATGGGAAGAGCTGCTAGAGATGACAGGGATTCATTACCCTCATCTATCAGTGAGGACCGAACAACAAAGTAATGGGCTTAAATGGAAACAGAGATGAATTTAGGTAAATAGCAGAAGAGAATAAAGTGTAAGAGTTTTTCTGCAGTATTTCAGGCTGGCAGGGGAGAAACCTGCCACTGGCTGCACCTCGGTGGGTGCAGGGGAACCTCCTGAGTCCCCATGACTGAGGTTAGGCCCCAATTGCCCAAAGAGCTCTCATTTGCATATCCCATTAGAAGTGTTAGAGATCGGTTTGGCAAGATGCTGAGTACTTGGAGCCACTTCCACCCAGTCTTCTTAACTGGAAATAGTTGGGCTGAAGGGCACTTCAGTAGTGTAAATGTCTCTGGAGAGATGGCAGCCCTGCCTTGGCAGCTTGGTGGGACAGGAGGAGGCATCTAGCTGAAGTGTGCCAAACCACTTGCTCAAAGTCATGGGCTATGTTGGAAAGTTTAGGGAATTTTTTGAGAGAAGACTGAAGCCAAAGAATTCCACATCACCTGATCTCAGGGGATATCAAAAGAGGAAAAAAATCAAGCCTGAAAATATTTGGCTCCTAAAAATGGAATGAAGAATGTGCATTATTCAGTTTTGATTAACTTTTTACCACAGACTGTCCTTTAGAAATCTGCAGTTTAAGTCAACATTTTATATTATATGAAGCTTCCAGTTACAGCTTCAAAACAAAAATCACATTTTTGACTTTGGAAATACCTTAATAAAGCACACTGACTCTTTTTTCCTTTTCTGTTTCCAAACCTGTCAATTTTTGACCAGAAAAGTCAAAACTCATTGTCTAAGTGAATAGCTTATAGATTTACTTCACTGATATTTTCAGTTTTAAAGTATTTCTCCAGAAGATTCCTGACCAACCAGTCAGCAGTATGTGCAGTATTTCTGTGCAAGGGTAAAACTCATCAAAGACTGGATAAATAATTCTTCTCTGTCCCTGGAAAAGGGTTGGTTAACTCACATCCACTGACAGAGAAGGGCAATCCTGGCCACAGCAGGATCCTTCCCACCTTGGATGACCATCTATTTTCCATGCAGAAGCCATCTTAGCACAGCTAAATACATAGTGAACACTGTGTTCTATACATCAGCTCTGCATTCTGTAGCCACACACTGATTATTCAAATTAGCATTATGAAAGAAAACTGAATTTTCATGGAATATATAAGGTTGGTTTACTCTGGCAAAATAAATGTTTAAAATGAGGCACGACATGTCCCTCAGATATGTCTGATGCAATTAAAAGTTCTAATAAAAATCCAGTTATTTATATAAGAGGAACTGCTAATATTTAAGCAGTTTTTAAATTAATTATCTGGTGCCTGTTTTATGTGTGTTCTTGAGAGGCTGATGGCATTTATTTTCCACCTTCTCTCACTTAAAGAAAAAAAAAACACAGAAGCCAAGTTCTAATGGCATTTGAATGGGCATCCAGCCAGCTTCCTGCAAAATAGTGCTTGGGACATCTGTTCCTTATACCATGCAGTTGAAGGCGCGCCATCTTGATGTAAGCAAGAAGACGAATTCTCTGCCCACTTGCATTGGGATAGATGAAGAATTCTCTTTCAATCGGAGCACAGTTTCATGGTGTACAAGGCCTTGTTTGTGTTCTTAGCAATGTTATGTACTGTGAATTTGGGGCAGTATCTTTTCCTTCCAACTCCGGTGATCTCATATGGTCATCATTATTGCTTTTTCCTGGGCTGAGCAGGGAAATGCCCCTTCTTCAAGAGAGCAACTGGACTTCTTTGTTTCTGCTGAACATCTGAAAAGCCTCAGCAAATGGACAGTACATAAAGGACAGGTCAACTGTTCCAACCAGGTGGAAACAGCCCGTCATATCTAGGATATTGTTTGGGGCTTTCCAGCCAGAAACACAAAAACATTAAGAGTGGGGAAACCTCTAGAGGTCTCCAGTCCAACATGCTACTTAGAGCTGGGTTATCTTCAGCTGCGCAGAGCCTTGTCTAGTTGTTTCAAATGTCTCCAGGAATGAGCTATTCATAACCTTTCTGGTTCCAGCACTGCACTGTTCTCATTGTGGATAATTTTCTTTATATCCAGTTGTAATTTCTTTCTGTGACTTTTGACTGGTGCATCTTGTCCTTCCATTGTGTTCCCCTGAGAAGTGTCTGTCTCTGGCTTTCCTTTCTTTGAGCTAAGTGAACCCAGTTCCCTCAGTTTCTTCTCTCATATGATGCACCACAGCCTCTTGATCATCTTAGCAGCCTTCCTCACTCCCCTCAGGATTCTCAACCTCCCCATCTTGTGGTGCATGGAGATTGCTGTTGTCTATTGTATCCTCCATTAGTTCTTCCTTATATGCAGCACAAATGTCCTGCTCTACAACATATCACATGGCATGAATTAGTTTATCTCTTCTGACTTACTACTGTTTAAATCAGCTGAGAATATGGACCACATCCTCTATATGGCATGTCTTCCATTTCTGTAAACAAGTCAGCCCAAACTCAGAGCCAAGTATGCATTCGGATTTTATAAACACGTTATGCAGCTGATAAACTGCTGTAACATAACAGTGAACAACATACTCATGACCAAAGGGTTTAGGACTGAAGCATGATAAAAGTAGTATCATCAATAAGCAGGGTCAAGTGTAAATCTGCTGATGGTTGAAAATGGTAATGTGTAGTGAAAGAAAATATGCAGAAATATTCAATGTCTTAATTTTTTTTGCTTCTGCCCATGAAGTGGAAGAGCATGTCCCTTCCCTGCTGTTACAGATGACATAGAAAATTTACTGTTTGCAGTGGAGAAAGAATTTTAAAATTCTTTGTTAAATTTTCTCTTTCATGTCAGGACACCCTGTGGCCAGTCCTACTCTACCATAGCTAGTCCTTTTTCTCATCTCTAAATCTGCTGTTTCATGTTAACCAGATTTTTTTTTTTTCTGATTAAAAAGAGACATCTTGCTTTCTAGGTTGGTTGAGAGTTTTTTCCTCCTATGTTTTTACAGTCATACAATAAAGCTTCTAAGCTTTGAAATCTGTTCCAAAACAAGATGAAATATTCATTTGGAAGCATGATAATAAAAGGCTTGGACATCTTCAAAGATATTTCTAAATTTGAGTGCAGGAACAGCTCTGAGCATTTACAGAGTTTTGATTGACCCAAGCTACTTTTTTAATAGAAACATTTTTAAGAGACACATTTACTTCCTAAAACTTCTTTGGCTGTCCATTACGTATGTCAGATGCATGACCTCCTGCTTGCCTGCCCGCTTGCTCCCCTGCTCTGCAGTATGTTGCAGGAGATGCTCTGCCATGCCTGAAAGCTGGAATTGTGGATATTCCTACCATGGTCTGCAGCAGGGTCCCAGGGAGTTTGGGAACTTGCAGCAGTCTTGCTACTGTGACCCAGAGCACAATAGGATTGTTCCTGTGCTCCCTTAGCACATATAGGTGAAAAGAAAAAGATTTGGAGTGGGTGCTTTCAAGTGAAACTTCTCACCCACCAATTCTGAGTGTTATCACCTCGCTGCCTAATGAACGCGTTGAGTGGTCTGTCAGAAGCTTTCTATGCAAGACAAATTGGCTGTAGGGAATGAATGATGATGCCCATTTTCTTTCATTATTAGCAGTAATATGCTCCATTTTTCAGTGGGGGGAAAAATTAGGGAAGGGGAATTGCTTATAAATAGACTTGTCAATTGCAGAGGGCTTTAGACCTTCATGGTAGTGAGAAAGTGATAGAAATGTAAGCTTGCCTCAGTTAGTGAGCTTTTCAACAGTAGAACGGTGCTATAACGCAGCTCTTTAATGCTGAGTAGCTGCACGGGGATATGTTTGTCTCATCTGAAGACAGTACCAGAGTAGCACCGTCCTTGACTCCAGTTGCTCACAGACCAGTACCCAGGCTGAACTTCATTTGCCATGTATATTTGTTGGCGTCCTCCCACGAGATCATGTACATTTAGGTGCTGGTTTTGTTGAGGCTTCAGCACACACTTTGATATTTTACTGAGTTGGGTGCTTAAAGGCGTGAAAAGGGGCTGGGGGTAGGATTCTTGTCACCAGACTTGGGGTGTGTCCCTTTTAGGCAACTCACTGAGAGGAGTTGTCCAGTCTTCCTTGGGAATTGAGTGAGGAAAAAAAGGCATTCATTTGCAAATGGATTTATTAATCCCCTTTTGGAGACAACCCTGAAGCCAGCTCAGCCAGGGTAACTGTTAGATCTCTTGAGCAAAGTGACTTTGTGTCCTGTGGTTTTTTCAGGTTTTACTTCTGAAAAGGTATTGACCTCTGGCCTTTAATTAAATCCACTAGGAGTTCAGGTTGAACATAACCAGTTTCCCATGATGTTTCACACACCCTTTGGGCTCTGCTTTTTCACTTAGAAATTGTACAACTTCTGGGACTTTAGTTCAGACTCTGTAGTCTGAACCACTGACTGCAAGGAAAGAATTGAGCCACAGTTTCAGTTCTTTTAATTTTTTTCCCCTCCTTTCTCTCCATGTTGACTGTAAGTGTTTTTTGCTTTGAAAAGGAATCAAAACACACTTCTGTCTTCTTCTCCTCTATGCAATAATTCACAGGCTGTACATGAGGGAGGTTCTTGGGAAGCGTCTTGTGGTTGAGTTAAATGCATGCATTACCTGGCACATACACATCTAACCAGTGTCCTTGGGGCAGGGGGCTGATGTTGGACTGGACTCTATTCCCTCTCGTCATACCAGGATTAACACTAGCCTGGCCTGAGGAGCCATAGAATTTTGAATAGGCCGTTTCAGCAAAACCTGCTTTTTATCCTTCAGGGCTAATGTTGAATCAGCAGAGGTCCATCCCTCAGGGAAGGAGAGGCTAGGAGATGGCACAGTGAGGCGGAGGACTGTTTCTTCTACAGTCATTATGTGAAGACCCCTCTGTGCTGTCCTTGCTCCCGTGTGATGTGCCAGGCATAAAACTTTGTAAATTATCTATAAAATGAATCAGCTAGAGGATGGTGTCCTTAAGTCAGCTGGAAAATGGGAATGCTTCACTGTGCGCTCTGTCTCTGTCTTTCCTCTGCCCGTTAACAGGTCTCCTCTGTGCTCATGTGAACATCCCAAAGCTCTCGAGAAGTTTTAAACAGGCTTTTGCAAATAAGTAACTGTGTTAAAAAGCTGTAAGAAGTGCTCCATGAGTGTGGGAGGGGCAATCTGACCTCATGACTAGGGAACCAGAAAAAATATTCATGTTTCAGGGCAGTTGTGCGGCAAGAGACGTTGAGTGAAGTATTTCCATTGCATTTGTGCTCCCATTTCTGCCCAACCCTGTGCCCATCTTCCCATAGCCTGAGCTCCCTGCAGCAGGGTCTAGTTAGGTCTTTGTAAGCTGAAGCATGAGAGGTCCTACAACATCTAGATGGTCTTATCCTATAACAGTGGAAACAAAAGCATGTTAATGCCTCAGTGCTTAGTCTATCCATGGTGACAGTCCTCTCCTCTTTGGGCTTGTTCTCTAAGAAACGTAGCGAAAGCTTGACCATATGTTCCTATGTGTGCTCACTGGAAAGGTCTTTCAATGAGATACAGGGTCTACTTGGAATCAAGTAATAAAGTAAGTAATTGGGAGGAAGTGATTGCAATGCTTTAACCAATAAGATTGCAGTAAAATTGAGCGTTGAAAGGTCTTGTCCTCTTCCATTCTATCTAGTGCTGCTTCTGAATGAGGAGCAATGCTCTGGTCCTGGAGCACAGCAGTATCTCTTCCTGAGTTTCTTCATTCCCTTGACAGCAGGGATCACAGGGGCGGACACACAGTCAATTTAATTTGGGTCCTTCTGGCTGTGGTTGCTGTCTGTGTGCTCTTTTAGCATATGGCAAATGCAAGAAAGTGTGACTAGGCTAAAAAGTGTTTCAGGGTGAACTAAACTTAGTTATTTTGTTGCGTTTGCCACGGGCAAAGACACCTACATGTGCAGTTACCACTGCTCAGCTGACCTTCGGAAAGCTGTTGAGATCCTGCACGTATGAGCTAGCCCTTGGCATTGCAAAGGCAGTGATCAGACTGATGGGTGTGTTAAGGCTTCTGGGAGGCAGCCAAATTCAGTACTTTTTAAAATTTGTTTTCAACATTGGCCCCACGGCTGCAGACCTTTCCTATAGCCGGAAGGAGGACTTTTGATTTTAGTTCAATATCTTTTGTAAGAGTCAGGACTGGGGTGGGCTGGCCCTGGGGCAAAAAGCAGCAGCGGCTGCGCAGGGTGATGTCTCTCTCCATAACCTTTGCTTTTCTTTTCCTTCCGCAGCCCTTTTCAATCTAATTCCTGTGGGTCTTCGTGTGGTGGCAATCCAAGGGGTGAAGGCAGGTCTGTATGTTGCCATGAACGCTGAGGGATATCTCTACAGCTCAGTAAGTACTTTGCACTGTTGGGGTCCTGGAATGGTTTGGTTTTGTAGGTGGGAGGGAAGAGATTGCATTGGGACTTGCAGCTTTTTTTGAAAATGG